ACACCTGAGCTTCAGACCAGGGGCCTCATGCATAAAGGATTGCGCAGCTTTCACACTAAAAGTTGACGTACAGACAAATTTAGAAAAGTGCGCCGCACCAAAATATTCAGATGTATAAAACCATGAGTACACATGTTCCTGCGCACCTTTCTTTTCTACATCCCAGTGAACGTGGAACTTAGCGCACATGAGACAGCTCCCCTGACACGCCTCCATTTAAATCTGTAAAATAGATGTAAATGTGTCCAGTATGTGAGATTCTCCTCAGATTCCTCAGTGTGGGATCAGAAATGAGTTTTAGATGCAGGAAAATTATACATTAAATGGAGAATGAGTGAGAAAACTGTCTAAATAAGTAGTGGAGTATCATTGTTTTACAGTATGTGGCACATTCACACAGGATAACCAAAGCCTGAGATTTTCCTGAAATTTACAGACATCTGAATGTGATGTTGAAGTCTGGTTAGTTGTTGTCTATTTAGTTGAACACAGTGTTGAACAGATGTTAAAAAACAACAAAAAAACATCAAGTTATCCACTTTTTCTGCTCTCTTTTCCTCCTGTGTTACAGCAGCGCTGTCATCTCTACGTACAGACCCCCATCCCACCCCCACGAGCGGGTACGAGTGGTAGCCTACAGATTTTTAGCAAAAATTATAGATTTTTGAGGCTCATTAGACGGTAAATGTCCAAAGGGGTTGACACATATGAACACCTTCCCAGCTGGCGAGGGTGCGCTCACCTGGCACGAGAATCTACCCAAAGCACAGCTGCTGCGCTCCGACCACAACTCAGCTCAGCATCAGCCAGAAGGCTACAAACTGAAAAAATAATTATTCTTACCGCACACTGAGACACCATTTGCATCCGATTTTGCTCCCTCTCTTCAGCCTTTTTTTTGTTTTATTATTATTTTTTAATGCCGCACGTAATGTGTCGGGTTTTTCCGGCCCGAGACCCAAAAGGTTTTCAACTATGTGACAAAAATATAAAACCAGTTTACAGACTGGACTGAGGTTCTTTGATCATTTTTAGACTGATCTGTTTTCTTGTCTGAGGTTAAATGATTTTCAGTTTCATCATGGTTCAGTTT